TTAATGCTTTTATGTAAATGCCCTATATGAAATCGTTTTAACTGCCAACTGACAAATTGATATCTTGGGGAAAATAAATAAAACTAGAGAGTCCCAGCAATCAGGCCTAGAAAAATGATTAAAAATTTGCTGCATGTAAACCAAAGTAAGACTTTCTACACAGCTAGATCTCAGATAGAGTGTTGTAGCATCACCTTCTAATAAAGACACGAGTACACGCCTAAAAATATAGATTTTCTAATCCAATTGAGAACAGCAGTATATATCGGTAATATGTTTTCTTGGTGATTTTCAAATCAACCAAGAGAAAATACCTTTGCAACTTTGTGGCAAGGTGATATGCTGAATCTCTTTCAAGAACTTCACAAATATCGGATTCTTCTAGTGGTTCCTTGCTGCCTTTTTTGAAGATGCCATTCATCCAGCTAAAAAGCAACAAAAATTCAGTACAACGGTAACTCCGGATAAAGAACAATTTTTTAAATATTCTATGTACCGATTATAATATAATAATCAGCCAGGCATGGATCAGGATAATAATTATCATAATTAACTGTGTATTTCGAGTAAAATTTATAGCGCTATTTTCTGACCAAATGTACACCACATGGCAATAATTCTGCATGCATGTACCGAATACATGCATGCATGATTGTATACACTATACAGTAAGAATTATTGACCTGGATGAACTGTAGAGCAACAGGTGTTCAAAACCAGTACGTATTTATTTCCATATTCCATTGCATGTGTATCTGTTAAATTCCCATTTGCAATAAATTATTTAAAACTTAGAAAAGAGTGTTTTGGTGACTGAAGAACCTCTTCGACAGAGTCAACAATCACATTTACGGTGGCCGATAAGGGCCACCTCTGCTGCATGGAAACGCGACTGTGCTGCATGGAAACGCGACTGTGCTGCATGGAAACGCGACTGTGCTGCATGGAAACACGATTGTGCTGCAAGGAAACGCGACTGTGCTGCAAGGAAATGCGACTGTGCTGCATGGAAACACGACTGTGCTGCATGAAAACACGATTGTGCTGCATGGAAACACGATTGTGCTGCATGAAAACACGATTGTGCTGCATGGAAACACGACTGTGCTGCATGGAAACACGACTGTGCTGCATGGAAACACGACTGTGCTGCATGGAAACACGACTGTGCTGCAAGGAAATGCGATTGTGCTGCACAGAAATGCACCTGTGCTGCATGGAAATTGACGATCAACCTCGTACCAAGGGTCCCCGTGTTTAAAGGTTCTGGTGCACGAGTTGGGACCTTTAAACACGGGGACCCCTGGGTACGAAGTTGATTGACGATGTCAGTACAAACACAGGTGGCCCAATATCGCAAGCGTCAGTATAGTAATGTGTATTATAGTAAAATTATGTGATAAAATATAAATTTTAAAATGAAATTGACTTGCCTATTTGATAGTGTGTGTTCTCCTTTTATTTCTCTTTTGTTAGACTAATATTTTTCGAGACTTTGCACTCGATGGACGATGACACTAATATACATACTATATGATACTTTAGGCAAACTACTTACAATCATCGATCCATCTGCACGGCACTTCGAATCTAAAATTCTCCCACTCAAATCGCTTTATTCTCCAAAAAAATTCGCAATATTTGAATTTTGGGATAGGTAATAGGACCTCTACATGCGTCTCGGACCTGTGGTTTACTTATATTTTATAATCATTATTCATCCAATGGATTTCTTATATTTTCAACGGGGTCTTGAAATAGACCATCCCGTGAAATATTGTGTAAAAGGTGCACGCGTGTAATGCGTGCGTTGTTTTGTGTATTTTTATGTAAATCCATTGTAGAAATATCGTAATTGAAGTTAGCGTGTATTGTATGTAAAGTTATTACTTGGTAATTGATAGGTGTGATTTGATGATGCACATGAATTTATCACAGGGCCGGATTTGACCATACTGCGATATTGCAAATTTGGAATTGGTAATAGGGCTTGCAATATTTTAATTTTGGAATAGGTAATAAGACCTCTACATGTGTCTTGGACCTGTGGTTTACTTATATTCATTACACATATATGTACACATATACACACATATACATACATACACATATACACACATATACATACATACACATATACACATATACACATATACATACATATACACACATATACCCAATGGATTTCTTATATTTTCAACGGGGCCTTGAAAGTAGACCATGCCGTGAGACCCCGTATAAGAGGTGCACGTGTATAACAGTGCGTTGCATATCCTTATATGTGAATCCATTGTAGAAATATCGTAATTAATAATTATCGTAATTATCGTAATTATCGTAATTATCTGGGCGCCATTTTACGAAACATCTGGGATGATTAGTCTAAGACACCAATTTTAAATAAAGTTTACCCTTGTGGCATAATTAAATGTTCTGCCAGATTCTATAAACCGCATTTGTGTAGATTGTACAACAACTACTTATTCTACCTATCAATAGTTACATACATGACACAAACCATAGGACTCATGACATGCATATCTCACGCCATGGTTTGCTTTCAAGACCCTGTGAGTATGTACATAATCTAACTGTATCCATACTTCAATACTAAGGGATAAACCTACAATCCTCACATAGACTTAACCACATGTGACGGACAGATTATGGAATACACAGTTAACAACAAGGATTAAGCTTACAATATCTCACTGCATGGTCTACTTTCCAGACCCTGTGAAGATATTTTTAAGAAAATCATTTACTCAAATGAGATACAGGAAAATTACACAGCGCAAAATCACAAGTCTTGTTACCAATTCCTAATTTACAACATCGCAGTATGGTCAAATCCGACCCTGTGATATCGATAAATTCATGTGCATCGTCAAATTACACCTATCAATTACCAAGTAATAACTTTACATACAGCACATGCTAACTTCGATCACGATATTTCTACAATGGAATAACAAAAAGAGACACAAAACAACGCGTGCACCTTTTATACAATGTTTCACGGCATGGTCTACTTTCAAGACCCCGTTGAAAATAACAGTAATCCATTAGATAAATAATGATTTTAAGTACACCACAGATCCAAGACGCATGTAGAGGTCCTATTACCTATCCCAAAATTAAAATATTGCATAAGCCGACGATGGATTGTAAGTAGTTTGCCTTTATCATATAGTATGTATATTAGTACCATCGTCCATCGAGTGCAAAGTCTCGAAAAATATTAGTCTAACAAAAGAGAAATAAAAGGAGAACACACACTATCAAATAGGCAAGTCAATTTCATTTTAAAATTTATATTTTATGACATAATTTTGCTATAATACACATTACTATACTGACGCTTGCGATATTGGGCCACCTGTGTTTGTACTGACATCGTCAATCAACTTCGTACCCAGGGGTCCCCGTGTTTAAAGGTCCCAACTCGTGCACCAGAACCTTTAAACACGGGGACCCTTGGTACGAGGTTGATCGTCAATTTCCATGCAGCACAGGTGCATTTCTGTGCAGCACAATCGCATTTCCTTGCAGCACAGTCGTGTTTCCATGCAGCACAGACGTGTTTCCATGCAGAACAATCGCATTTCCTTGCAGCACAGTCGTGTTTCCATGCAGCACAATCGTGTTTTCATGCAGCACAGTCGTGTTTCCATGCAGCACAGTCGTGTTTCCATGCAGCACAATCGTGTTTTCATGCAGCACAGTCGTGTTTCCATGCAGCACAGTCGCATTTCCTTGCAGCACAGTCGCGTTTCCTTGCAGCACAATCGTGCTTCCATGCAGCACAGTCGCGTTTCCATGCAGCACAGTCGCGTTTCCATGCAGCAGAGGTGGCCCTTATCGGCCACCGTAGTTAAACTACTTGAAGAGTTTCTACTCTTGAAGAGTTTCTTGATACTTGAAGAGTTTCTTCTCTTTACGACACTTCAAAGTTCTCGCCGATGCTAACTATCTATTGTGTAAGTGTCTAAAACGAACGAAATTCATGGTTTGAATTCATCGGGCACCTGCTCGTGCCTAATTGCCAACTAAAATGTCGAAACTGGGAAGCTTTAAAGTTCCATCGCTCATTAAAAAAAGACGAATCGATCATGGTTTGCCAACATTTAGCTGGAATTCATTAAGAAACGTGGAGGAAATTGGCAGTGGTAGCTATGGATCTAATTTGCGGAAAATGTGAGCGTTAAATTTTTCCGGAAAATGTTACATTATGCGTAATTACATAATGAGCGGGGCGGGAGGGGGTTATACATACACTAGTTTTACATAATGGGGGCTTAAATGTAGTTATTCATACCATTTTTTACTTCAATTTTGAAGAAAATTCCTTAATATTTACCACGCAATTCCAGCATTCCAGGGCCTCCACTCCGCAAGTTGGCTCCCTATTATTTGGGGATGTTACACCCCCCATACACCCCAGTAGTTCCCCAGTAGTTATGTAGGTTAATTGAGGTTAATATTTGAGTCATCAGGGTTGTTAATAAGTATCAGAATATCGCAAACGTATGAGTATTTTATGACATAACACACGCCCTTCGTGGAAATCATAGTTGAAGGGACTATTGTGTATAATTTTTAAATAAATATAGTTTTACCAAGCTACATACCTACCTCGTAAAAAGAAAAACATTCTAAAACTTTTTTCCGCGTTTTACCCCCTTTTCCGCGTTTTGCCCTCTTTTCCGCGTTTTACCCTCTTTTCCGCGTTTTACCCTCTTTTGCGCGTTTTACCCTCTTTTCCGCGTTTTCCCCCCTTTTCCGCGTTTTACCCCCTTTTCCGCGTTTTACCCTCATTTCCGCGTTTTACCCTCTTTTCCGTTTCCGTTTTTCCGGTTCCGCCATTCCGGTTCCGTCGGTCAGTTCCGTTCCGTTTTGTTTTCGACACAAAAACATTCAGGAAAATTACTTGCGAAGATGATGCTCGCCAATTACAACAAACCCTGACAAACCTAGCCACCTGGAGCAATACCAACAATATGAGGTTCAACGAGTTAAAATGTAAAGTGTCGACTGTGACGCGAAAGAAACAACCTGTGGACTTCACATACCGACTGGGCTCAATCACTCTTACTCATGTTGAAAAAGAGAACGATCTTGGGATTACAATGACTGGAAAGCTTTCATGGGATTCTCATATCCATGAGATCACAGCTAAAGCCAACAAGCTGCTCGGTCTATTGAAGAGAACATGCCTTTTCCTGACTGACGTCAGCGTCCGACGTACTTTGTACCTTTCGTTGGTAAAATCCAATCTATGTTATGCCTGTGAAGTTTGGTCCCCATACATCTACTCACAGAAGACAAAGATAGAGCGTGTGCAGAGACGAGCCACTAGATGGATATTGAAAGCTAGAAAGGGTGATTCCAGCTACAATAAGCGTCTCGTTGATCTGAACTTACTACCTTTGTGTTATGATAGAGAGATAAAAGATCTAATGTTCTTCTACAAAGCTCTTTATGGTATTTCCGATCTCAATGTTCATGACATGTCTAGATCTCGTTTGTAACCCATAACCACTCCCGTCTATGTCGTAATCCCAACCTGTTGCTCAAGACTCCATTGTGTAAAACCACAACATGTCAGAACTCATATTTCAACCGGATCGTGAAATTATGGAACAGTGTTTGTAAAGTAGCTCTACCAAATACATTTTCTAGTGTCAAAACATTTAAATACTACCTCTTTAATTATTATTCTATGTTAGTATCGACCGTATTCGATGTAAACTTGTTATGTACTTGGTCTATGTCACGTGACTGTTCCTGTCATAGGAGTTAATTGTCTTGTTATTTAAACTTGTTATTAGTATTTAGATAGTAAACTATATTACATGTATTCTGTTGGAAAGGTACCTTGCATGGATAGCGCAAATTATTTACGTTCCGTTTGCACCTCTTCCATTTGGGTAATATTCGTTCTTCCAATGCATAGTATTAGTACGTCTTTTGTAAATAATTATTATATTTACCCCATAAAGTATTTAAACAATATAAACAATTCCGTTTCCGCTTTTTACCTCTACCCAGAATTTGACATCAAAATTGAACGTCTTCCCATTGATAAATGAGAAGGTGTTAAAGCTTCTTCCATTTCGCCAGAGTCAACATACGTCAGAGGTCTTGAGTTTAGTACACTTTCCACTTCCGTAAGAACTGTATTAAGTTCATCGTAACTTAATCTCGCATTCTTTAATGATTTCTTTAAACAACGCTTCGACGACTTGATCATTCGCTCCCAGAACCCACCCCACCAAGGGGCCTTTTCAACTATGAATTTCCATTCAACTCATCTGGAGTGAAACAATTCTTGGACTTCCGGTAAATCGATTAATGCTGACAATTTATTGCTTGAGGACTTACATGTTTTAGCGTTGTCCGACAATATAAACTTTGGAATACCTCTTCGACTAATGAATCTCCTACTCGAAAAAACGCATCAGCTGTCAGGTTTGAAACCAATTCCAGATGAACTGCTCGAGTACTTGCACATGTATAAAGTGCAATATACGCTTTGGTCATTTCGGTTTGTCTTTTAGCAACCGATTTTACGTAAATTGGTCCCGTAACAAGGAATTTGGGAAGGTCTGCTTGAGTTGGCGGTGTGACGGGTGTATAAGCCTTTCCTTCGAATTTACGACACGTTACGCACTTCCCAATCACACGTTTAACTGTTTGTCTACCTTTGACAATCCGGAATCGTTCTCTTAAACAGCATAAAGTGTCTTGCACCCCATTATGAAGCACTCGTTCATGACATTCACGAATTATAATCGAAGTTAAGTGATTGTAGTTCGGTATAATAATCGGATTCTTCGTTTCTGTCGGTATGTCCGCTTTAGATATCCTTCCTTTACAACGTAGAAGCTTTGAATCGTCGCTGTAAAGTCCTAGAACCTTTGAACTTGTGAGAATTTCCTACCATCGATAATGGTTCTCTGAACGGTTTGGAACCACAGCACTTCCGCCTCTTTTATCTCGTCAGTTGTGACACGATTCCGCTGTCGATCCGATCTGCCACCTTGCAATTGTGTTTGAGTATTTTCACAAATCTTAATACCAGAGCTGTAACCCGATATAATTTCAATGAAGAACTGTATCTTTCAGGTTCGATTAATAGTTCTGGATTTATACGCCTGTTCTGAACTTGAGTTACTGACACGTGTGTAGAACCGTCCGACTTCGCTAACGATCTTTCGCTCAACTTCATTTCCTTCTCCGCTGCCTCGTCAGACTCTGCATTCTTAAATTGAGGCCAATGTTCTTCAGATTCGTGAAGCCAAGTTGGACCATTCCACCATAAACTATTATCAGCTAAATCTTCCAACCGAACACCTCAAGATGGTAGATCTGCAGGATTGGATTTCCCAGGTACATGTCGCCAGCCCTCTACGTCACTCAATTCTCTGACTTCCGCTGCTCCCTTGCTGGCATCCGAAAATCCGTGTAATTCTACCTTACAAAAGTTCTCCTCTATTCAGGATCTATCGATCTTGATCTCAGGAATCTTTCTTAACTCTGTTATCCAGCCCTGTCACTTTCGTTCACATTGTGATGTCAATGGAGCATCCCAACACTGCATGAAAAGCCAAGTATTCAGATGTGAATACGTGTGAATATCAATTTGAATATGATGAATATTCACACGTATTCACTGATATTCACTGCGAATATCCTCGGAATATTGGTAGTATTCAGATGTGAATACCTTAGAATAAAACGCACCTCATATTCTCACCTAGAATACGTTTGAATATTGTGTGAATATTTTTCAAGGCATAGTATTCACACTTGCGTACATTATTAAGTGATTTTGTGTCGATATTAAATAATCAAGATATTATTTTGATCAAATATGTGTAGTGATTGTGATTATATAGCTAAGTTTTGCCTCTTAGTCTATTAACTGTGGTTTTGCTAAACTGCGCATCAGAGTACTTGCTTCCTAGTGATTCTGCAATTGTCTGGCAGTTATCGAGAATTGGGATTCTACTTGGTTTGTTGACTAAACCATTGTTTGTTGACTCGGCAATATTTTGGTTTTTTAATACTTTCTATGTCATCATGTCATGTAGCCTGCGAGCAGGCTCTCTGGGGAAAGAGAGCCTGCAAGGATCCCTTTGATGATTCGGTGCATGCGTCCAATATTTGGACGCAGTGCTCTGATTGGTTGATAACTGATTCATATGAAGTGATTGACAAGCTTCCATAAACTTGCACTTCCCGTTTTGTAAAACCGAGCAACGCAAAGCTTCGGAATTGCGGCAATGTAGAGATCAAAGTGTCATGTATTTTGATCCTGGTTGACTTTTTACTGTAAATTAATATAGTATTCATATAAAGACGAATACTAAAAGCTTGCATGCTTTATTGTGTCCTTGGCTTGTCTGACTCCTAAGCTAAGAATAATTCTTGAGAAAGACTGCACAAATTCGCAAACCGAAACCTAGGGACAAGGCATTATATCGCTTCTCTTTTATGAAACAATATTGGGAATTTTGATAATATTCAGTGCATATTGTGTGTATTAAGCTTGTTTTACAATGTTATACTGACTATTTAATATTTATAAGTATGCGGCGTTAAAATGTACAGTAATTTACTCGTCACTTTGTTTACAATAATTATCACATGCATGTTTACTGCAATTCCACTTTTTGTTGCAAAATTTGAACTATAAACATATTATTAAATTATGTCCAATGTCCATGGTATATCATATATGTCTATGTCTCACCAAAGCCATAAATTTCAGTAAGTTATATTATTACTATATATATATATAGACTGTATACAGTGTATATTATATATTGCAGCACGAAGCAACTCCAAATAACTGAATTAGTTAGCGGGTAATATACAACTTTAAACTTACTGTGCCTACAGGAGAAACACATGCAGATTGTAATAAAAAGTACAACTTGATATATTACTCTGTAAAACCTCGAGCCGTTTTAACTTTTTTAGTATGCCACAGTGGCGGTCTGTATACGAAACTATTACAGTAACGAATTTGAAACGAATCGGTTTATGTTTACAATATCGTGGTGTATTCCGGTCTGCGCTGATTGGTTGTTATTAATTGACCTGTGACATCATAATTGAAGGGCTGCACGCAATCATCATAGGGATCCTTGCAGGCTCTCTTTCCCCAGAGAGCCTGCTCGCAGGCTACATGTCATGCTAATTTATATAAATCTGAGTGCGCTGTATGCCCCTGAACTTATCTCAAAATTTACGGTAAATAAATATTGAAAAGAATAATATAAATTTACGTACATCGCTAGGCGTAAGGGGTTATAGATATTTACATATACACGGGCCAGACAGAGCTCGGACGGAATAGACAATACTAGCAGAAGTCTATCTTGAGTCAGTAATGAATGAAAATTATCTTGAATGGAAATTTCAAATTTTCGTAATGGCTAATTTCCTTCACGACATTTTGGCGACATTATTGGCGATATAAAATTGCGGCGCGCAAGTTGTAAAATTGGTAATAATCAGTTTATTAAATATCACTCACCTGCAAATTCTGCAAACAAGAATTTGTCCCACTGTTTGAAAGGGGGAAAGCATTGTTTTACAAAATAATATAACGATATTGAATGGTGCTATATGTGGTGGAATTGCTGATTGCCTTAAATACAAATATATAAACCCTGGAATTGTTGAAATTTCGTCAAATATCAAAACGTGATGGCTGATGACAGCATGTTGTCAGCAGCCCACAGCTGGTATGTTGATATACAAAATATTAATAATTGACGAAAAGGTTGGCACCATAGAATAGGGAATAGAAGGGCAACTCGAGTGTGAAATTTTAAATTTTGCATGTTGACTTTGATCACCAGTATTCTGGGCAGTATTAAAACACTAAACTGTAATCAAATTGAGAGGTTATGCATGCCTTGCCCACTACTGTACAGTATGTTGCCTTCATTTCCTATTCTATGATGGTACTAATTATAAATTCTACTAAATTGTACTAAGTGGCAGCTGATTATTTACTGCTCAGGGGGCTTGATGAGGAACTCTGCAGAAAATTTAAATAGAATTCTCAAAGCCCCCCCCCCTTCCGTCCCCACACCTAAGCAAAAAAAATTCTGAGACCCTCTCCAAACTGTTAGTGAAGCATTTCATTCCTACAGTCAAACCGGGTGTTCTCTTGCGTGCAACATTTCAATATTTTGTCCCGCAATATTGCAATTTTGATAAGCAGGTTGCATGATCTGAGAAATTGCTGTGCTGAGTGGTAATATATTACAACCTGAAATAAACAAGCAGAAACTCGATGTTTGGAACGAAGGCCCTTGCTTAGTTACTACTAGGGCCCTTGCTTGAAACGTCGAGTTTCTGCTTGTTTATTTCAGGTAGTAATATGACTACTCAGCACAGCAATTTCACATTGGTACTGTATACCTACACTGGTACAGACAGTTTTAGGTTGCTCTGAGCAATTTGCAACCGACGCAAACAAATTGCAAGTTGAAATTCACAAAAGATTTGT